CATACATACATACATACATACATGTATATATATACACATGTATATATACATACACAGAAATAATAGTAATGTGCAAAAAAATAAGAAAAAGTATAAATAAATGTATAAATTGTCAATAATTCTGTAATCTGACTCTGAATTACAGAGGTGGGTTGCATGAATTTCTGAGGGAGGCGTTGTTGAGATTGATGACCACAGGCAGGAATGATGTCCTGTGGCGCTCTGTGGTGCATCTGGGTTAAGAGGAGTCTTCTGCTGAAGGAGCTCCTCTGCTGGGTCTGTGTGTCATGGAGAAGGTGTGAGACATTGTCCAAGATGGACTGAAGCCTGGACAGCATCCTCCTCTGTCATCAACATGTCCAGCTCCTCCCCAACAACATCACCAGCCCTCCTGGTCAGTTTGTTTAGTCATTTGTTGACCCTCAGCCCACTGCCCCAGCACGTGACGGCGAAGAAGATCGCGGTGGCCACAACAGACTCATAAGACATCCTCGGCATCGTCAGACAGATGTTTAAAGACCTTAGCTTCCCCAGGAAAAGAGTCCCTTTTTGTAGACTGGAAAGCCTGATTCATCCAGCTGTGTATGGCCATTGTCGTCATGGTTACTGAAGTCATTTCACCCTCACATTAGAAGAACAACAGTCCTAAACATACAACCAAAGAAACTGATGCTCACTGACAATCTTCATTCAATCCACTGAACATGAGGTTCTACAAAGTGTTGATTCAGATGGGCTGAATACAGATGAAGAATACAATACCGTGTTGATCAATTGCTACACTGAAAAAAAAATAATGCAACCGCTTTTGGCATTTACACATTTAGTTACTTTAACACAATTGTTTCATGCCCCACCCTGCTAACATAAAACAACTAAATAGGATTGAGTAAATGCCAAAAGCGGTTGCATTATCTTTTTCAGTGTAAAGTCTGACAAAATAAAAAGAAAATGTGTTTAAGTTCAAGAGGAATGTAGCGGAGCCTGACACCAAAATATAAGGGATATATCCTAACCCAAATTTAAACAGTGTTAGTGTCCGCACTCATACTGAAGATCCAGACATACACAGAAGGGAAGCTCAAACACATGTTTTCATTCCATAATCTGTAAACACTTGAGTAATTTAGTAATAAAATCAGAAGTCGTCAACATATACAGCAGAAGGTAAAACATTAGGAAGTACAGAAGTTAGTTCCACATAATGGCCGCGTGGAAGAGGAGTGGCTCAATTATAAAAAGCTTTTCTGTCTATGAAAGCAGCAAAAAACTAACTTTTATTGTCTAAACTTTACGAAAGGATGTCAGCTTAAGTCATATTTAAACTCACCGTGAAGATTCGGAATTTTGCCCTGCGTGAAAAGCAGACCCCGAATCTACAGAAAAATGTGGAAGCAAACATGATCAGAGGCTTAACTGACTGCAGGGATGAACAAAATACTGAAATCCTCCCTTTCACAAAAACACATGGGGCGTGTAGCAACAGGCCTCAGACTGGCTTCACTTAACCCTTTCCTCACTTTTAAGTTCCTGCAGAGCCCAATGCACTTCCACTATGTTGTCAACATGTGCCTGAGGCAAACAAAAGAGAAAAAAAAGCCTAACCTGAATGGTAGAGTCAGGTATGTGACTGGAGAAGGAAGAAGGAAGATAACTTTTAATAGAACATTTCGCAAGAAAATCTTCCTTGTAGTTTTTTTTTTTCTGAGCAAAAAAACAATCACCTGCCCTGAGGGATAAGCATAAGGAAATAATACAAAGGCAGACACTGGAACTTTCCATTCAGTGTACAAAATGTACTTGTGGCAATCACAAACTGGTTTCAGGGATTAGAGAAGGAAGGATGAGATGTAAAGCAACTACTGCCCGGCACAAAGAAAGGAATGTTACAGAAAAGACAAACCCAAACCTGGAATCTGACATCCAGAGAACTAAACCTAAACTTTATCAGATAGAAAAGAAATAACCTTGCTTACAAATACAAAACTGCTAAAAGTATATATATTTTTTTTTTTGCCCTCTATGTGAATCATATAGGTATATGCACATACATATAACAATGGAAAATAAACAGCATTTATGTCAGAGGATCAACCTCTATCTTCCTGGTGTTAAACTGTCATTACAAATGTGGAAAAACTGGCTTGTTTCCATTCAATCGACAAACATGCGGTCAGTCAGGGTGACTCATTGCAAAAAACACAGGTGTGGGGATTGTGGTTTTTGCGGTTACACTGCTGTCGGCTGGTCTTGAATTTTTTGGCTCAGAATTCAGACTGGAATTTTCTTTCCTGTACATTGAATGGTTAAAGCTTTACAAGAAAAATAATGTTTCATATGCCTTGGCTCTTATGAATAAATTATTGAGTGTTGAAACCCTTTTTTTAATGGCTGAACTAGAGGATGCATTGTTCTAACTGGAATCTCTCTCCAAGGAATTTTTGCATGGATGGGATTTTGGGGTCTGGTCTGCAGCTATAGGTCTTGACTCTTTAACCTTTCCCTATGGCGAGGGCCTCATTGGTGCAATAGAGGTGCTGTTACTAAACTTTTAACAATCTGCCATCTCTCTTTTTTTGTTTTGCCTGGAGTCTTGGAAATCTATTTCAATATTGTCCC